TGCTGCTGCTGCTGTTGATGGTGATGATGATGATGATGCTGCTGCTGGTGATGATGCTGCTGCTGCTGTTGATGATGATGATGATGATGGTGCTACTGCTGCTGTTGATGGTGATGATGCTGCTGCTGCTGCTGCTACTGCTGCTGCTGCTACTGCCTCTGCAGCTGTTGCTACTGTCTCTGCGGCTGTTGCTGCGGCTGTTGCTGCTGTTGCTGCAGCAGCCAAACGGTACCATGCAGGCACAGCCACATCACTGACTGCTATTTCACACTCTCTCGCTTCCCAGTGCTGCCCTCTTTACCAATTCTCGAAATCTTGCGTGTCGATTTGAAATTGTGCCAAGCAGTTACTGGCTGTATGCCCCAGCTGTTATTATTGTTGTATTTGGAGACATAGAAAGGAATTCATGCTGGTTGATTATACGGAGATAATATGCAAGCAAGCACGCATGAATGTACGAACACACAGCATAAAGAGGAACTGAATCTGAACATGTGTACACGCTATCATATTTTAATGCATCGGTCCTTTACTAGGAATTTTATATTAGATTTATATGTTTAACAGAGCATTTTTTTGGGAACTACGTGTAGAACGAACCACAGTTAATAGTTGGATTGGATCTAGTCAGATGCGATTGGTAAACAGTCTGTACACTCATAAAAAATGCGAGGTAATTACAATTGCTTTGTTGAGGATTCATATTAGACATGTAGGGAGACATGGCGTCAAGATGCAATCGGGTAGAAACTGGAGGGTTTGGGGTCAATGGTCAAAGGTCGTGGGGTAACGACAAATACACGCATTACACCTTAACTGAATGCAGTGCTTTTTAACATTTACAACTTGAGTGGCAGTGGTAGTAGTGGCAATGGCAGTAGTAATAGTAGGGGCAGTGGCAGTCAGGGGCGGGGGGGGGGCGGTCGCCCCTCTATTATTTGCAAGAAAAGGGAAAGAAGAAGAAGAAAAAGAAAAGGAAAAGAAAAAGAAAAAGAAGAAGAAAAAAAAAAAGAAAAAGAAAAAGAAAAAGAAAAAGAAAAAAAGAAAGAAGAAGAAGAAGAAGAAGAAGAAAAAGAAACATCTTGCAAATGATAGGGGAGGTCAAAATGAGATCAATGATATCAATTGAGGTCAATCAAGGTGGGGGGGGGTTAATATGTATCCAAGCTGTGTCAGATATGGTAATTTTATGAATATTAATGAACCCTCACT